CATTATCTTAACATGTAACAATAGAAAATAGTTTTTTTTTTCGATTTTTATGCGACCCCGACCAGCCTCATCACCCCTGGACCTCGAAAATTTCAAAACTTACATCTGATATCAAGGTAAAAAGTAAGGTTCTACGGGGTAAGTGATGGGGTCAGGGTAGGAATCGGCGCGAGTGATACTCGTCAAGCGTCTAAAAGTTATGGTGGCCGCTTACCATCAAGCGGGCCAAACTTGTTTTATTTGCCACTCTTTTAACAATATATAAATCCAATAGGGTGCTATTCTATCCTTTATAAGAAATCCGGCCGACCAAACTAATGAGACTTTTTCTTCTCAGTAGTTCGGTTGTACATGATAACGGACTGTAGAGTTGTCTATTGTGTCAGTAGTTCGGCCCTAACAAAATATTTTTGTTTGTGATTGCTCTTTAGTAGCAGTAATTCTGGTAAGTTCGGTTATGTTCGATTTCCAAACATTGGTAACATGAGATAGAAAAACTACAGAACAGAAAAATTGGGGAAAACAGCAGTTCCTGACCAGTTAGTACTGTTTCCGTCTAACATAGCCTGGCTTTGGTTTATAGCATGAGAATATTTTTTTCATGAAATTAATTCAAAATACATATAAAAGATAAAAATCAACTTGTAAAAAAAATCAAAGTGTGTATCTATCGCCAATATATAAAAATAACAAATAATGACTATGTCGATGCTTCTTGCTAACTTATCATTATATAATATAATATATGATAAGTATAATATAATAATAATAATAATATAATAAGTAGTATATAATATAATAATGGTCTCACTAGGGAGTTAGTTATGTTTTGATAGACAATAAAATATCTAAATATATTTAAGTAAGGATTTACTTACCCCATATCAATATTTAAACAAAATAACCGATCAATGATTCTGTTTACAGATAAAATGATCAATAATCTGAGGGGAATAGATTCAATCTTAGATAAATGATTGGAGACTAATCATTAAGTCATCAGTTCCATTATTTATCTCCGAAAGTATTAATCAGATCTTCACCAAATTAGTACGATCAAACTCGCTAACAAACTCTTCCAAACAAAAAAAAACCACAAAATCAGTCCACTATCCTCTGAGATATGTGCGATCAACAACAAAGAAATATAATAACGAATTGAGAACCTCCTACTCCTGGAACTCGGTTAAAAATAAAACCGTTTTGCGAGACTCACTTTGCTCTCGGTCGGCTGTCGGACTTGAAAGAGTTTATATTACGAAGTTACCATCATCATCATCAGCTGAAGGACGTTCACTGCTGGACATAGGCCTCCTCTAGGGATTTACCATACACAATGGTCCCGAGCTTTATACATTCAGTGGATCCTTTCGACACGGTTGATGTCGTGGACGGACTGGTGAGGGATAGACTGACACAGCGCTTCCCGGTGCGAGTTCGCTATTGTAGTACCTTCGGACCCCAATGTCCATCGGTCCGCCGAACTTATTGCCCCGCCCATTGCCACTTAAGTTTGGCGATCCGTTGAGCTATATCGGTTATTATAGTTCTTCCACGGATTTCCACATTCCTGATTCGTTCACGTAAACATACACCGAGCATAGCTCTCTCGATCGCTCGCAGTGCGACTGTCTCATCTCCGTATGTCATCACTAGCAACGCGTAGGTACTATTCGAAGACTTTGGTCTTCAAGCATTGAGGTATTACGGAAGAGAAAACATCGCGAAGTTTTTAAGTGAAGACGTTACCAGAATGGTATATTAATTTATATGTTACTAGCTGACTCAGCGAACTTCGTACCGCCATAAAAGTAGGGGTTGGCGGTAAAACGGTGAAAATTTAGGGTATGAATTTTTTAATGCCATATCTAAAAAAATGTCCAAAAAATAAAATGTTACACGTGGACAACCCTTATCAATTAGGGGTATGAAAAAAAAAATAGCCGATTCACAGACCTACTGAATATGCATATAAAATTTCATAAAATCCGTAAAGCCGTTTCGGAGGGGTATGGTAACTAACATTGTGACACGAGAATTTTATATATAAGACGGATGAAGTAAAACATTGGGGAATTTTAAACAATTCCATACAATTTAGGCATAGAATAATGCTTCTTAAATAATGTATTTTTTTTTATCACATTAGATTTATAGACCACAGGTTACACATGAATATTGCCATTTGGAGTTCGGACAATCTGCTACATACACGTCGCCCTAGACCTGGCGGTCCGGTGTATAGTCTAAACCACGTCAAGAATACATCTGTAAAAATAAGTACCTAAATCGTGCTTTATAACCGTGTAAAACGTATTTTATCAAAAAGATTGTGCGTGTGCGTGAAATATAACAAAAGAATATTAGGTATTTTATTATTGGAAGCAATTCTCAGAATATACAAAAGCTTTTATAAATTACTAGCTGTACCCTGCCACGCTTCGTAGTGGCACATTGTGATTTAATGGTTGAGAAATGAGAAACAAAACAAAGAATACATTTCATATAACTTTAATTTTGCAATACTTGTGGATATACAAATTTTCTGTTTTTCCACTGTCTGCGTAGATTTAAAGACTATCTGGTTTGCCGACTCGGGAACACGATTATTAAAAAAGATTCACTTCAATAATAAATACGTTTTGTTATTGATTAATTATTTAACTGTCCATCTTTGATATAAAATATAACCTCTACTTACGATTTGGTGAAAGGCGCAGTTCGATCACAACACTATCACACCAAAAATTCTTGATTTAAGTGAATATTTAATTTAGATTGTATAATAATCAGAATCAGATGCAATTTTTTTTGTAAATAAACAATGACTGCGTCGTTACTATTGCGGTTGTCAGCGAGTGTTTTCCTCGCTTCTGGCAGATGGCGCTGTCACTGGTACACAGCTGATCGTTAAAAAAACTGTTTTCTCGCGGTCGCAGATATGTGACTGATTCAAAAAATAGATAAAAACAATCCTTGATGCGGATTTTATATCATGTTAAAATTTCAACTCAATCGGTGCAGAACTTTTTGAGTTTTTGAAGCGTACACAAACCATCATAACATTTTTATATACAGGGACGCCCATGGCTACCTCACACGGAGGGAAAGTATATTAAAGATAGGATATTTTACTGAATGAAGACATCATTTCATTTTTGATAATAACTAGAACTGCATTCACAGATTTTTTTAAAATCGACTGCTACAACTGGGAATCAAACTCGTGAAATTTCAAAAAAAAATACGACATATTTTATGATAACCATCGAAAGGGTTTATCATAAAGATTATTTTTTACAAATTAACATTTTAAATGAAAGGAATGTCTTATTACGTGATAAAAAGAATAAAGTGATATACAAACTGTAGTAGGTACGTATGCATTTCTTTTTGAACTCAGTTACAATGCGATTGGCTGAAATTTGTAAAAATAATAATTCGAAAATAAAACACATACATTTTCAAGCGTCTGTACCCCTAGCAAGAACCATTATCGAATTCGAATAGTTTGCGAGTGTGAAATGTCAATGTCAAATTTTGTATGGAAACTTATACAGCAGCACCACAAAGTACGTAACGAGAACTAAAAATCAGTACACATTTGACAATGACATTTCGCACTCGAAAACTATTCGAATTCGATATTGGTTCGTGCTACGGTTACTGTTCTTTTTTTTGTGTTTTTCATTTTAGTTAAAAACCGGGTTCTCTTAATACATTTTTACAAATGGAATCTAAATACGGAAAGATATCTAGAAATACTTACTTAATATTTTAAGAGGTAAGATCAATAATCTTCCTGATGCAAATCGACGAAATCTCATTTTTTCAGCAAAATGGGACTCACAAGAGTAGGAGAACTGCCGAGTTTCTTAATGAACACTTTCCTTCCTGGATCGGTTCTTATGGACAAATAAGATGGCCAGCGAGATCCCCAGATCTAACTCCACTGGACCTTTTTTGTGGGGTTATGTAACAGATGTAGTATACAAGAACCGGTAAGACAGTGTGCAGGAGTTACCAAATAAATAAGACGTATTATTACAAACATTCACCATGCAAAGATAATGAAATCGTCAGGCAGAGAAAACATTAATAGAGTGAGAATTTGCATACAACAAATCGGATCACATTTTGAACATTTGATACATTTCGTTTTTTATTACTTTTTGTTGAATATTTTTAATAAAATGTGTAATTTTATGACTTTTCTTTCATTTAAAATGCTATGTTATTTAGCAAAAAATAATTGTCATGATTAACTCTTTCGATGGTTATCATAAAACATGTAGTGTTTTTTTTTCGAAATTTCACGAGTTAGATTCCCCGTTTTAGCAGGCGATTTTAATAAAATCTGTGAATGCAGTTCTAATTATAACTAAAAATAAAATGATGTCTTCTTTCGGTAAAATATCCTATCTCCAATATTTAATATACTTTCCCTCCGTGTGAGGTACCCGTGGGAAGCCCTGTATATATAGATTAGAGAAGTTACTGACCTAGTTAATAATTTAAGGCCCTTTATTGTTCCCTTACATTAGGTATGGAAAAGTTACATAACACCATTAAGACTTTCAATATAAAACATGTTAACATCACCACCTGGAAATGATAGATCCTAATCACAGCCTTACTAATAATTATTCCATGTGCATTTGATAGATTTATTATTCATCGTTTACACATGGTTTTGAAACTCGCGATCTTTCTAAGTCCGATTTCTTTATGAGTTTTAACTTAAAATAAGAAACAACTTATTGTAATTTAAAATTTAAACACCTGAGTGATTCGTGGGACGATTATTACTTTAAATTATTGCAATCACGCTAGTTTCGGTTTCCATTTGTTTTTTTTTTTGATGCACTCTCATAACGGTTCAGATAAACAAGAGCACCTGCTCTTACCTACGACTCTATAAACATATAACAAAAAAAATCCTGTGATAAAAACAGTTTTCTACCGTATGAAAAATAAAATGTGTCTGAAACATTACTTACATGAAAATGCGTGTTGCACCACCTGCTGAAAGGTACTCCGATAACGAAGAAACAGCTGCTGGCGCTTCTCGATTAATTGGATTCGACCGCACAAAATGTTGTATTAGGTCGCTTTGTGTGTTGTTACTGTTTTTATGTAGTTCGATTGGAACGGAGCTGCCAGTTTATTGCACTAGTAAAGTGTGGTTTGCGTCGATACTTCGATGGAGCGATGCGACGCGCGCTCTTCGTGGCAGCGCGGGTATTGGCGAGCAAGCCGCACGGCTGCGCGCGCACCGCTGCCGCATACCCGAGCCGCATCGACTGACGACCGCTGCCTACTGGGCACGCATGAAAATCCGAGAATCAAAACATTGAAGCATTTGAGTATTCCCAATTTCAAAATTTTCCCACCATATTAAGTAGTACGTTCACTAGGCGATAGAGACCGGTAAAATATTGGTTATCATAATAGATAAATCTACCTAACTTTATTGTTTCACTGACTACAATCCTCCTATTGTCGATCTTGAGATGAGTGTAAACATCATGGTGCACTGAACAAATCCTATATCTTTGACCTTTACAGATAAAATGTGTCATAGAACAGAATGGTCGGATATACGTAGATAACTGACAATACAAGGTTACTGTGTTGTAGGTATGTAAAACATACCTGAATACATTCTTTTGAGAAAATTTCACTCGACTTGAATGTGGGACAATGTTATCTATAATTTCTTTTATAGTAATGGGTTACAAGAAAAGATATCATCTAAGCAGTTTTAAGATCGAGTGCTTACCTAATGATAATAAGTGATTTAAATTGATCAATTTATCATTATTTTAAAATTACACTTTAGTTATATGAATGCGAAATTGTTTATAGATTAGGTCAGTGGTTCTCAAACTTTTTAAATGACGGAACCCTTTTGGGAAGCAAAATACTTGATGGAACCCTACAATAAAACAATTATTTTTATAAGTGTATTCTATATTAATCAGCATAATAAAAGTACAATGTATCCGTTACTAATTATTATTTACTTCACCACTTGGTAAGGACAATAATAGAAAACATTAAAAAAGAAAAAATCTAACTAGTGGGAGGTATGAAACTGTTTTTTATTTTTCATCAATTGCTTGATATCAGGTTTGATGGAAGAAAGTTGGAGTCTCATATCAGCTTCGGCGTCCAGTCTATTGCGATATTTTGTTTTCGTGGCTGCGTAGGTAGAGAATCCTGTTTCGCACAAATATGTAGTTGGGAACGGGAGAAGAATATCCAGAGCCATTTGGCCAAGCATTGCATATTCATCTTGGATTCTGCACCAAAAATCATTAAGAGGCGTCGTTTTGAACAATGACTCCATACTTGTGTCTGATGACATTTCTAAAAGAGATTCATATATCTCATTTGACATGTTTTCAGGCTTTTCCAAGTTGGGTAAAAAAGGATTATGAATCCAGGAGTTCACTTTAATTTTTGTATTGTGTTCTTCGGGAAAATACTTTTCAAAAGATGCGCGCATCGAACTGAGATATTGGACCAATTCTTCAAACACATTATCTTCAAACATTTCTGAGTCGTTTTCGCTAACAAACTCAGTGAGTAACGTAAAACTTTCTATTTCTTTCTTACCAATGCAAATGATCCAAAAATCTAATTTTCTTTTAAAAGTAGTTATTTTATTATAGGCCTGAAACACTGTTGTCTGTTTACCTTGCAATGATAAATTTAATTCGTTAAGTTTTTGAAAGATATCCGCCATAAAAGACAATCGGAACAACCAAGTTTTATCATACAAACGGTCCTTCAAATTAAAAGAAGTATCTGCTGAAAGAAACATTTGTAACTCGGCTCTAAGTTCAAATAGCCTTGTTAAAGTTTTTCCCCGAGACAGCCATCGCACTTCTGTATGGAGCAGCAGTGTTTTATGTTTGCTGCCATAATCTTCACACAATAATGAGAACAATCGGGATTGTAGTGGTCGTGATTTGATAAAATTAATTATTTTTACCGCTTCATCCATAACTAATTTTAGATTAGACGGCATTTGCTTCATCGCAAGTGCTTGTCTATGCAGAATACAATGACTGGAACTACAATTAGGCGCTTTATTTTTCATTCGTGACACTGCTCCTGCTGTTTTACCTGTCATCGCCTTGGCCCCATCTGTACAAATGTCAATGCAATTGTTCCAACTGAGATTATGTTCTTCAAAAAATATATTTATTTTATTAAAAATTTCTTCCCCGGTAGTGTTTGTAAGCAGCGATGAACACATAAGCATGTCTTCTTCAAAAGAACTTTTATATGGATATCTCACAATAACCAGCAGGATAGCCAAACCAGCGACATCAGTCGACTCGTCCATTTGCAAAGCGAATCGTGTATTTTGTAGACGTGTAACTAGTTCTTGTTTGACGTAGCTTGCCAGATCATGGATTCGTCGTGAAACAGTATCGTTTGATAGCGGAACAGTAGAAAGATGCTTTGCAGATTTTTCATCAAGCATACATTTTGTTATGTCTAATACACATGGTTTTATTAATTTCTCAGCGATAGTGTGCGCTTCACCTGCTTGTGCAATGCGATAGCTAACTAAGTATGATGCCTCCGTGGCCTTTTCGTTGGTAGTTTGTGTTACATGCATCATATTTTTTTGACTTTCTAATAACTGATCTTTTTTGCGAACAAAAAATTCTTTATTCTTGTCTTTAGTCTCGGGGTGTACGGTTTCTAAATGTCGACGCAATTTGGCAGGTGCCATGGAACTATTAGGAAGCAGTTTACTACAGAGCATGCAGAGAGGTGAGCCGTTGGAATCAACAAATCCGAAACTGATATAAGATTCATCATACTTCCTTTTTTTCGTCTTTGAAACCGTCGAGCTTGACGTCGTGGCACTCGTGGCATCATCTTCTGGATCGGTGATTGCTAAATTCTCCGCGCGCATTGCTTTTGAACATTCAGCGTCATTAGAAGATGTTGTTGGAACACGTTTAACACCTTTAAGCCAACGTTCCATTCTTCTTTATTTATAATGTTACAAGTCAGGATAGTGGGGTTTAAATAATGCACAATCGTTACTGCGTATAAGAGACTAAATTTAGAACCTACAGGGAAGAAATGTATAAAACTGAGACAACAGAATACAGCAGGCAGTAAAACAATGAACACCAGTTTCTCGCTAGCGAGCTTGTAAGTAGGTAGTAACTTATCGCTCCGAACGCTAATCATCAACTGACGACGCCAACGCGCGATCGCCGCTTTTATACTTAGTCCTAGACTCGATCTCAAATATTCTCGAAAATACTCGAGTCGGCACCTTTGATAAACAAAAAGCAAAAATAAAAACAGAAATTTAAAAATAGCGTTGTAAACAATATCGACTTTATCCTTTGAAGTTAGAGACGAAAGTCGCTAGTTGACAACTATAGCGTCTAATTCAGAGGCGGCTTTTATCAAAGAGACTGAGCGCTTACAAGTATACTACCCGCTCGTTTTAAGTTTGCCGCTGGCGATAGGTATGAGTGTATGACGTTCGAAATTTTTTATTTAATTGTAACAATAAAAATTGTGTACGTTAGATATTTGGGTAAAACTATGACACATTATAAGTTTTGTTGTCACGTGGGGGAGGGTACGCGCATTCCACAGACCGGCAAACTTAGAGCGAACGCGTTGTACAAGTATAAAATTGTTGAGACCAAACTTATGAGATATTGTACCAGCTAATGTAACACAAGCTTATACAAATACAAATAAATAAATAAATAACATTCATAGCGTTTTGTCTCCGCGCGGCCGCGGAGTCCGCACAGCCGCGGAGCGACCAGAGAGAGGTGTTTTGATTTTTTTATTTCTAAATTCTTGCGGAACCCCGACAGAGGTATCACGGAACCCTAGGGTTCCGCGGAACACACTTAGAGTATAGCTGGATTAGGTAATAAGACATTTTCCACGTACCGTACCCACTTACACATTAAGAAGGTACGTAGGGACGTGATCAATTGGCAAAGAAGAAATAGTGCCGAATTATTAAAATAAAACAAACATGCCTATTTTGCAACTATGTATGCTTTGGAAACATGAGATGATGGGCATAATAGTATCGGTGGTATGCTAGTTTTTATTAACTGGTCTAACAAAAAAAAACACTTATATGACACCAAGAGACAGGAGTTACTAATATTATTATTAAATAATTTAAAGCGAACGTTAATCTGATTATATCTTTCTTTAACTTTGAAAACTTAATGTTTTCACACATATGTAAACATACCAATAATTTATTTTACACTTTTTGTCCGGGTTTAAAGCGTAATTCTTGTATTAACTATTTTTGACGTTTCGGATCCCTGCGGACATAAAAGTAGTAATTTTTCTCAGATTGCTATTTGAGTGCTACCTACCCTTTACATTGGTACGTATTGCTTACTACTTACCAATGCAAAGGATAGGTATAATATATAATAAAGAAAAATCACGCTTTATACAGTCTTTTTTTTTTAAATTTATTCATGACCTAAAAAAAAAGACTATAAAGCGTGATTTAGTCAGGTCATAAGTATTGTCACACAGTAAAAACTTTTCTTTTAGAATGCAGACCACAAAAAAGATTATTCAATTCGAATTTCGAATTGTTCATGAAAATAAAAATGTTTACTTTTTAGAATTTTATTCATTTTTAAATATGGAGTGGACGCTTAAAGAAGACAGTGTTGCAGTTATTGCGTTGTATCGTTGCGGTTACGCGCCAATTCAAATTTTTGACATACTGAAAATTTTGAATACAACAAAAAGATTCGTTTATCGTACCATCAAACGATACAATGAAGACTCTAGTGTAGATGACAGGTCAAGAAGTGGTCGCCCTCGGTCTGTTAGGAGTCCAGCAGTGATAAAAGCTGTGAAGGCGCGAATTCAAAGAAATCCCAAACGTAAGCAGAAACTGTTGGCCCTTCAGATGGGGTTAAGCAGAACCACGGTAAAAAGGGTGTTAAATGAAGGCTTCGGGCATATCGAAGAAAAACCGGACATCGTTTGAATGCTCGTCTAATGGACCTGAGACTAAAGAGATGTCGCGCTTTGTTGAAGCGGTACGAGGGAAAAATATATCAGGAAATTCTTTTTTCGGATGAAAAAATTTTTACCGTAGAAGAGAGCTATAACAAACAAAATGATAAGGTGTACGTACACAGTAGTGAAGAAGCGAGCAACCGTATTCCGCGTGTCTAACGAGGTCATTTTCCATCCTCACTCATGGTATGGTTGGGAGTTTCTTATTGGGGCTTAACAGAGGTACACTTTTGTGAGAAAGGTGTAAAAACGAATGCAGTTGTGTATCAAAATACAGACCTGACGAACCTTGTGGAACCTGTTTCTCATACCATATTCAATAACAGGTACTGGGTATTCCAACAAGATTCGGCGCCAGCTCATAGAGCGAAGAGCACACAAGACTGGCTGGCGGCGCGTGAAATCGACTTCATCCGCCACGAAGACTGGCCCTCCTCCAGTCCAGATTTGAGACCGTTAGATTACAAGATATGGCAACACTTGGAGGAAATGGCGTGCTCAAAGCCTCATCCCAATTTGGAGTCACTCAAGACATCCTTGAAGGCAGCCGCCGATATTGAAATGGACCTCGTTCGTGCTGCGATAGACGACTGGCTGCGCAGATTGAAGGCCTGTATTCAAAATCACGGAGGTCATTTTGAATAAACTTTATTGTCATAAGAATCCATGTTTCGTT